CGATTCGGTGTCAGGGGGGCGCCATATTTAGAAACCGAGGAACAATAGACAACTACGACGAAAGGTTAACCAGTATATTTGCAAAGTCCATTAAAAGAACCTGTTCCTCTTCGATGTCTAGCAACTCTAGATCCATCTCTGTGACCGTGATATCTTGCAGACACGCCATTGTTGTTTTAAAAAATAAACACTCCCGCCAGCGCCGCCAGAGTTCTTGTGAGTTCTCCAATGGGCTTCCCCTTGTGCTTTGGCAGGAAACTGCTGTGCGTCCCTAGAAATTCCAGACCGACGGTGCAGAAAGATACCAGCAAAACTGGTTTGCAACCAGACCCAAGCAACATTTGATGTGTGCGGTTGCAGAAGTATAATCTGCCCTTTATTCTAAAGTTATAAAACCTTAAGTACTTAGAATAATTCCTGATGTTGCTGATTTTTATGTCTTAGTTATCTGTAAATATTGTGTTGAATATTTACAGTCAATCTAACCTGTAACTAATTAATGTCATGAAACTCGTCCGTGTTGAATTTATGTTGATAATAAAGTGATCTTCTGTCTTTTCCAGAATACTGGACACATAGAGAGCCATACTTTTGCCACAAGCACGCTCACACAGTTCTGCATCCTCTTTAAGAGAACCTTGATAACTATATGTCGAGATCAGGTAGGTGACCGTATTTTGCCATCAGATTCAATTGCCTAAAGGCCAGAACACACCGAATCGTGCCTAAGAGGTCGTGGTGTTGTTTCCTGCAGGGGGCAGCGTAGCTCTAACTGATAGAGCCCAGGTCTATTTTATTCGGACTACGCAGCAATTCAGCAGCAATTTCATGGGTCTGACAGGAAGAAAGATGCAGTTACAAAGTAAAACACATCCGCTTTGGGTGAAAATCCCCCCAAAAAATCTGTTAATCTGACGGGGAAAGAGTCAGTTTGGAGTAACACATCGCGTTTATGGTTAGCAGGACAGACTGGAGCAAAAACAATGAATGAAACATTAAAATAGAAACTTTCCCCATGATGGGAGTTCAGGAGGACAGGAAACGGATAAAGTAGTGATCCTCTTTGAGCCTCACAGAAACCAGAATAAGGAGGAGCAGACAGAGCAGGTCAGCGCAGCGTATCTCTCTCACCTCTTTATGGAAA